ATAGTTTGATTGAGCCCTTTCTTGTATGCGGTCTTGCATGTCCACTCTTTCATAATATTCATTTACACAATTATACGAGAAAGTATATACACAAACTAAATTCATTAGAAACAAGGTTTCGATGTATAACGTTTCAATATGCTCGTGGTATTGGATTAAAGAAATAATTTGACGATTGTTGGAGTTGTGTGATAGTTTTTAGCTGCTTGATTCCATACCATATGGTATAAGCGAATACTAATACCATATGAAGATATTACAACCGTAGGCAGTCATTATGCAATTACTCATTTAGACGACACAGGTGATGATTAATCAACAAGATAAATATAGGTTTCCTCTTCTAATGTTTATTCTAGTTCTGCACTCATGTGCACCCTTTCACAAAGATGATACAGATAAGACTCACACACAATACCCAGTCTCTATACAAAAATGTTACTATCACACTATACGGTGACCGGAAAGAAGCGCAACGTAAAAAAGCGCAATGGAAAAAAGCGCAAAACAAAAAGCGCAACGGAAAAAAGCGCACACGGAAAAAAGTGAAAAGAGAAAAAAGTGCACACAGAAAAAAGCGCAAACGGAAAAAAGCGCGAACAGAAAAAAGATGATACAGATAAGACTCACACACAATACCCAGTCTCTATACAAAAATGTTACTATCACACTATACGGTGACCGGAAAGAAGCGCAACGTAAAAAAGCGCAATGGAAAAAAGCGCAAAACAAAAAGCGCAAACGGAAATAAGCGCAAAAAGAAAAGAGCGTAAACAGAAAAAAGCGCACACAGAGAAAAGCGCAAACAGAAAAAAGCGCAAACGGAAAAAAGCGAAAACAGAAAAAAACGCTAACAGAAAAAATGCGCAAAGAGAAAAAAGTGCAAACGGAAAAAAGCGCACACAGAAAAAAGCGCAAACAAAAAAAAGGCGCAAACGAAAAAAAGCGCGAACAGAAAAAAGCGCACACAGAAAAAAGCGCACACAGAAAAAAGCGCAAACGGAAATAAGCGCAAACAGAAAAAAAGCGCAAACAGAAAAAATGCGAAACCAGAAAAAACAACGAAAAATGTGCAAAAGAGAAATTTAGCACAAAGACCTATATCGAATAGATGACGCATTTATACATGACTGTTTCGGCTGCTGTAAGAGTGTCGTGTTTGATCACGTGATCTACTACCATTTAAAGCGTACCACTACCATGTGCATTCCCATCACCACGATACAGGCGATAATCGCTTTACACAATGCCTATTATTTTCTTGGTCAATAATTATTCAACTACTATTCTCGTATAAATAAACATAAAACTATCGACATTACACGAAGTATCTTACACATTCTCCCTAGTCCGAACTACCTAGCTTGCATACCATAACAACCCGTTCCTATGGCAAAACTTCACTTTTTTTCATCCGCGTCATCAAACATGCATTCGTCATATCTCTCGTAACAACATTCATTAGCACCAAAATAACAATTATTATTTAATATTTTTTCACATCATGACGCACCTACCTACCTACCTACTACCCACCTACCCACCTAACCACCTACATACTAACCTACCTACCCACCTACCTACCTACCTACCCACCTACCCACTTACCCACTTACCAACTTACTCACTTACCCACCTACCCACCTACCAACCTACCCGCCTACCCACTTACCAACCTACCCTTCAAAAAAGTATTGGCGAAGTTCATTAGTTTCGTAAACTGTACTAGACATCTTTTTTTAATGAAAATTCATTGACATCATTGACATATGTTACATTGTTACATTTTGCGACAACCTTAATTAGTGCGTTGGGCTTGTATGAAAACTCACTTCCAACTAACTCAATTACATGCTATTTATTTTAACATTACACGGTAAGCGTCACCCAACTGTTGTGATGTGAGGTGAGGACAGGTTCGACAATAAACCAACACGAAATTACGAAAGAGACATAGACTGCCTATTAGAGAATGGACCCCTTAGCTTTCCTAACCCCCACCATTTATTATACCCTACCTAACCTCAAAATTTCCTGCGCTAAATGTCACTTCCCTCCCAATCGTTTCTATTCTACAGAATTGTGTGTACTATTTATTTACATTTTTTTTATCTCAATATAACTAAAATAGACTTTTGTTTGAAGGGTAATGAAAACATGTAAACAAAAGGGACGCTACTCTAAATCTATGCGAATACTTATATGTAACAATCCTAACCCCAACCAAAACATGTACTGAACAACATAATGAGCTGCATGTAGCCAGAGTTTCTTCCAGGCATCTCTTTTACCGCCTTCCCCCCCCCCCCCTCGGAACGAAATGGAATTTATAAAGTAAACATACACTTTTACTAGTGTCCACCCCCTCCCCTCTAAAAAAAATGTTGCCCCCACGGAAAAAAAAAGTCTAGAAGAAACACTGCATGTAGCCTATATAACAGAAGAGCTATGGTTGTTTATATAATTTTGCATTCGTCCGGTAAACATTTCAGTAAAAAAACCTTAAAAAACCTTCCATAACCTTTTTATAAAGAAACGAAGAGAGATGAAGTTTTATAATAACATCAGGCTTTGATTTACACCTACTCCAATGGCATCTACATTGTTAAACTGATTAACTACGTAATGTAGGGCTCAACAGGATCAATGAACTAACCTTACGCCAAACCAGTTTGAAATTTCGAGTTTTGTAACACTGTTACTAAGCTAGAAAAATGGAAATGTGCATAATCTTTATCATCTACACAAATACCCAACCACCTACCTAACTACCCACCCACACATCTAACCTCATACCCATTTAACAACCTACCCACCCACTTACCCACCTACCCATATATTCAATGCGTCATTAACTTTCGTACTAATATTCGTTCACACCAATCCTTGTTTAAACATACATCAAAACTATATATATATATATATATATATATATATATATATATATATATATATATATTAGGTAATTAGGTAGGTGGGTAGGCAGGCAGGCAGGCATGCAGGTAGGCAGGCAGGTAGGTAGGTATGCAGGTTTGCAGGTAGGCAGGTAGGTAGGTAGGTAGGTAGGTAGGCAGGTAGGTAGGTAGGCAGGTAGGCAGTTAGGCATGTAGGTAGGTAGGCAAGCAGACAGGTAGGCAGGCAGGAAGGCATGCAAGTAGGAAGGCAGGTAGGTAGGTAGGCAGGTAGGTATGTAGGCAGGTAGGCAGGTAGGCAGGCAGACAGGCAGGTAGGCAGGCAGGCAGGTAGGCAGGTAGGTAGGTAGGTAGGTAGGTAGGTAGGTAGGTAGGTAGGTAGGTAGGTAGGTAGGTAGGTAGGTAGGTAGGTAGGTAGGTAGGAAGGTAGGTAGGTAGGTAGGTAGGTAGGTAGGTAGGTAGGTAGGTAGGTAGGTAGGTAGGTAGTTAGGTAGGTAGGTAGGTAGGTAGGTAGGTAGGTAGGCAGGTAGGTAGGTAGGCAGGCAGGCAGGCAGTTAGGCATGTAGGTAGGTAGGCAAGCAGACAGGTAGGCAGGCAGGAAGGCATGCAAGTAGGCAGGCAGGTAGGTAGGTAGGCAGGTAGGTATGTAGGCAGGTAGGCAGGTAGGCAGGCAGGCAGGAAGGTAGGCAGGCAGGCAGGTAGGCAGGCAGGCAGGTAGGTAGGTAGGTAGGTAGGTAGGTAAGTAGGTAGGTAGGTAGGTAGGTAGGTAGGTAGGTAGGTAGGTAGGTAGGTAGGTAGGTAGGTAGGTAGGTAGGTAGGTAGGTAGGTAGGTAGGTCGGTAGGTAGGTAGGTAGGTAGGTAGGTAGGTAGGTAGGTAGGTAGGTAGGTAGGTAGGTAGGTAGGTAGGTAGGTAGGTAGGTAGGTAGGTAGGTAGGTAGGTAGGTAGGTAGGGAGGTGGGTAAGTAGGTAGGTGCGTCATTATGAAATAATAGTGAATACATCATTGTTATGATGTGTGTTTTATCAGGTATTTTGGTGCGAATGAATGTTGTTGCAAGAAATATGACGAATGCATGTTTGATGACGCGGATGAAAGAGAGTGAAGTTTTGCCATAGGAACGGGTTGTTATGCTATGCAAGCTAGGTAGTTCGGACTAGGGAGAATGTGAGAAATACTTTGTGTAATGTCGATATCAAGGATAGTTTTGTGTTTCTTTATACGAGAATAGTAGTTGAATAATTATTGACCAAGAAAATAATAGGCATTGTGTAAAGTGATTATCGCCTGTATCGTGGTGATGGGAATGCACATGGTAGTGCTACGCTTTAAATGGTAGTAGATCACGTGATCAAACACGACACTCTCACAGCAGCCCTAACAGTCATGTATAAATGTGTCATCTAGTCCATATGGTCTTTGTGCTAAATTTCCCTTTTGCACATTTTTCGTTGTTTTTTTTTTGGTTGCGCATTTTTCTGTTTGCGCTTTTTTCTGTTTGCGCTTTTTTCCGTTTGCGCTTTTTTTCTGTGTGCGCTTTCTTCTGTTTGCGCTTTTTTCCGTTTGAGCTTTTTTTCTGTTTGCGCTTTTTTCTATGTGCGCTTTTTTCTGTTTGCGCTTTGTTTGCGCTTTTTTCTGTTAGCGCTTTTTTCTGTGTGCGCTTTTTTCAATTTGCGCTTTTTTTCGTTGCGCTTTTTTCCGTTGCGGTTCTTTCTGGGAACCTCTGAACCCACACTATACGCATCATATCATCCATTCGTTCAACATACGTGCGCACCAATATTTATTCGCCCCAATCTATATTGAAGACATGCATCATAACTACGACGCTGACGCATTTTATAGAGATAAAACCCAATTGCGAAGTACTATCTTCAGCGATTTGCTTGGATAATTGCCTAGAGGCCCTGTCTCAGCTTAATTCTAGTCTTGACATTTTCTATAACAGTCTCAGCTTTATTCTAGTCTTAACATTTTCTATAACAGTCTCAGCTTTATTCGAGTCTTGACATTTTCTATAACAATCTAAGCTTTATTCGAGTCTTGATATTTTCTATAACACATTTGAAATTAAAAAAAAGACACATATGCATACCGAATATGTTTTATTTCCCATTAGAACAAATAAAGATTATGGTAGATCATTTGATAACAAATGTTTGAAAAGATACTTTGGTAAAAGTAATAAAAAATGAAAAGAATAAATTGAAATCCAATACTTAAGCACAGCTTTTTGGAAACATTTGTATCTAGCTTACCAAAGCTTGACTTATACATTTTTCTACTGTTATAAAAATTATACTCTCTACTATTACAGAATATATACCTAATACTAACATTTGGAGAAAAAAATCTTAATCAGTTAACAACTTTCTTTCAGCGTTTATATTTTGTGTACAATAACTTACAAAATAAACTCAGATTAAAATGCGCAAAGTGTAAGCTAAAGAATATATTAAATACATGGTAAGAATAACAGACAATAAAATCTTAAAGTTTTTTTCAAACATATATTGGTATCTTCATTATAAAAAAAAACAAGCAAATCCTCATAACCCAACGTGTCGCTGTCTACAGCAAACATTAGCGATTCTAATTTTTAATCTACATAGACCTTTTTAAAAAAAAATAATAATGTCATTTTATAATCAGCAAAGACAATTGCTTGAAAATGTTAATCTTTTAAACGTTCATCAACCAGACTATACTAAAAAGATCGCTATTAATTTTGAACATCTGAAAATATTTCGTTCAAATACTTAGTGGCAAAGTATGTCTTGGCATGCCTTGTATAAACATAAATAAAATAGTGTTTTTGACAGCGTTCCTCTTTTTATTGTTCTAAAACTACTTTAGTGTAAATGATCATACGCATGGCCTTACAATGACACAGACTTCACACAATCAATGCAGTAATTTTTGTTTTGTTTTACAAATAGTCTCTTAAATCTATCTACTTATAAAACTAGTTAACAAACAGTTGCCTCAATGATTTTCTTTGAGTAGTCTAAATTGTGATGAGACCGGTGAGGTTGAATAGAAGAGCGACTGGCTGCTATCACGAAGGTCTCGAGGTCAGATATGGGTTATGATTTGTTAGTAAGGGACGTCCACCCAGCTGAGAATACCATCCCTTCAAAGTCCGAGGTTAAAACAAAACATCTTAACTTGTATTTATTTGCCCATCTAGGTCTAAAGATGAATCTTTTCTTTTATAATAAATTCTAAAGATTTATAAATAAGCTGTTTTAAACTATAAACTAACATAAATATAATGTTTACTGTAAAGTATGATATACATATTAAATACGGTTTATAATGAGAAGTAAAACCATCCTTAAGAAGCCCGACAAAGCGTTTAAAGAAAATAAAGATAGTTAATATTAAGTATACTTGTTCAGTATAATGCTTTTAAACCTAAAATATACAAATTTAAATTTTTCATTTGATTAAAAATAATTAATATTATTTTGATATATTTCTTCAATAAAATATTGTGTTTGAATAAAACCAAAGTAACACAATATAATCAACTTTCTACATACTCGGTTGTATAAAAACTTTAATTATTTCGCGTTCTGCAATACATCATTTCAATTTTTAAAAAAACTTGAACAACAAGATATTTTCAGCAATGTTCAGCAATTCAAAATATTTTTGTCTTCTTTAAACCGGTAAAAGAAAAAAATTAACACAAACATTTCCTAAATTCCATTACGTCACCAATCTTATATTGGGAACTGTGCTTTGCAATATAAGACTGGTGTCATAAATTCCCTAATGACACCTATCTTATATTGGAAGGACACTGATCTTATATTGAATGCTGTGCTTGCAATTTAGGATTTGTGTCATATATTCCCTTGTGACACCGATCTTATATTGGGTGCTGTGCATACAATCCAGCTTCACAACCGTGTTAAAGAGTACAAACCCCATATGTAAGCGCCGTACAACTTGTGGCAACAATCCTGTTCACATCTACCCCGATGAGGCAGTCCATGTCATCTGTGTTTGTGCTAGCGTCAAACCACTGCTCAAAGTCCACTGTGATAGGCTGGCGAGTGTCCTCCCAGATGAACTGCCCCTCATTCTCGATATCTGTGGCACCAACCCAGAAGCTGCTACCGTCCATATTTCTAGCCATTGTAAAAAAAAATTCAATGTCGTCCGCAGATCTAACCCTCACAGGTGTTGCATTCTTCGCCAAGCATTTGTTCTTTGTATTGTTATAAGTATCAACAGGAGTTAAAAAAATATAGCACAATCCATTATGTATAGTAAACCCATGATCTGTACAACCTGTTAGAAAATATACGAAAAGAATTATTTTGTTTTTAGCTTTTCAAAACGTGTGATACATTAATTAATAATTACTCTATATAATAATTACTAGCCTACCCGGCTGGGCCCTGCGCTGGACTCCGTGAAAAACCTATCAGTAAACAACTATGACTTGTGTGTTTATTATGCAGTTTATACCCGGCATTGCCCGGCTTTAGGAAATATATTACCTTTCGAATGAACCCTAACAACAACCAACAACTACCAAAGCACTAACACTAACGAAAACACACTCAAACACAACGT